GGGTTATAAATTGAGGAAAATCCAATATCATATTAATGATAACTCTAAAGAGGCTCAGAGCTGTCTCTTAGCTCGATGATCCCAGGTGCCTGAAAGGGCGAAGCAGTGTGCCTGCCAAGACCACTCTTGCTTTTGGAGTCTGACAAGATTAAAAGGAAGCTTGCAAACTTGAGTGACCTCTGCCTGGGAGACAGTCACACAATATGATGGACTAAAGTAATTATTAAAGATTGTGTATATTTGTTTTGCTATAAGGGATCCATGGTTGAAAACTAGAGGCGGCCTATGGTGTCATGATATATATCAGTTTGCATCCAGTTCCTGGTTCCTAACTACCATAGCCCCATTACAGTCTTTTGTTATGTTGGGTAAGGCCTCAGGAAACAGAATGTTTCTCCTGCCCTCTATTCACCTGCCCCAAGGCAGGACTCTAACCTTGCCTACTTTTCTGATTGTGGGCCTTCAGACCCTCCCCAGAGAGAGTCCCGCCCTATACCCTGGGGAAGGAATGCTGAATAAGGAAACTTCCATAAAAACACAAGAGGGCCAGGTGCAGTGGCTCACACCTATAATCCCAGCACTGTGGGAGGCCAAGACGGACAGCTCACTGGAGCGCAGGAGTTTGAGACCAGCCTGGCCAACATGGTGAAACCCCGGATCTACCAAAAATAACAACAACAAAAAGCTGGGCATGGTGGCTCATGCCTGAGGCTGAGGCACGAGAATTCCTTGAACCCGGGAGGTGGAGTTTGCAGTGAGCTGAGATCGAGCCACCGCACTACAGCCTCAGTGACAGAGCCAGACTCTCCTCAGCAAAACAAATCCAAGAGAACTGAGTTCAGGGAGCTTCTGGATAGCTGAAGTCATGAAGGTTTCTGGAAAGTGGTTGCCCAGGGAGAGGATGGAAGCCCCTCACCCCTTCTCCCATGCCTTACCCTACACATCTCTTCATCTGTATCCTTTATAATAAACTGGTACACATACATAAAAAACTACTTAGACACGATAAACATTCAATATCTGTTTAGTGAGGAGGGACACAAATCACATTGGTCATAAGGGGTGACTTCAGGTTTCTCCAAGAACACTCAGATTCAAGTGAGGTAACTCAATTATGTTAAAATATTAACCTTTATGGTGGTGTCTTTTCTGGTATAATACATACATCAAAGATCATTCTCTAAAAATGTTTAATTTTATGTTTTTGAATATGTAAACAAAGTATGTCTCTAAAAGTTAACAGAGATGGCCAGGCATGGTGACTCACACCTGTAATCCCAGCACTTTGGGAGGCTGAGGCAGGCAGATCACGAGGTCAGGAGTTCGAGACCAGCCTGACCAATATTGTAAAACCCTGTCTCTACTAAAAATACAAAACTTAGCAGGACGTGGTGGCACATGCCTGTAGTCTCAGCTACTTGGGAGGCTGAGGCAGGAGAATTGCTTGAACCCAGGAGGCGGAGGTTGCAGTGAGCCGAGATCAGGACAGTGCATCCCAGGCTGGGCAACATAGTGAGACTCCATCTCAAAAAAAAAAAAAAAAAAAAAAACAGAGATAAGTTGAGATTTGGATTGTTTCCTAGGGTTCAAAAAATGCTACCTCCTTTTTCTTTTCTTTTTTTTTTTTTTTTTTTTTTTCCTGATACAGGGTCTATTGCCCAGGCTGGAGTGCAGTGGTATGATCTTGGCTCATTGGGGCCTCAACCTCCCAGGCTCAAGTGATCCTCCAGCCTCGGCCTCCCGAGTAGATGGGACCACAGGTACATGCCACCATACCCAGCTAATTTTTGTGTTTTTTAGAGACAGGGTTTCACCATGTTAATTAACCCAGCTGGTCTCCAACTCATGGCCTCAAGTAATCTGCCTGCCTGAGCTTCCCAAAGTGCTGAGAGACAGGACTAGCTGGATTTCCTAGGCTAGGAATTCCTAAGTCTAGCTGGGGAAGGTGACCTCACCCACCTTTAAACACAGGGCTAGTAACTCAGCTCACACCCGACCAATCAGGTAGTAAAGAGGGCTCACTAAAATACAAATTAGGCTAAAAGCAGGAGATAAAGAAATAGTCAAATCATATATCGCCTAAGAGCACGGGGAGGGGACAATGATCGGGATATAAACCCAGGCATTTGAGCCGCATCAGGCAACCCCCTTTGGGTCCCCTCCCATTTTATGGGAGCTCTGTTTTCACTCTTAAATCTTGCAACTGCACACTCTTCTGGTCCGTGTTTGTTATGGTTCAAGCCGAGCCGTCTACCACTGCTGTTTGCTGCTGTTGCAGACCCGCCATTGACTTCAACCCCTCCGGATCCCGCAGGGTGTCCGCTATGTTCCTGATCCAGCGAGGCACCTATTGCCACTCCGATGGGGCTAAAGGCTCGCCACCGTTCCTGCAGGGCCAAGTGCCCAGATTCGTCCTAATCAAGCTGAACACTAGACACACAGCTTCTAATAGAGCTATAACACTCAGCGCATGGCCCAAGGTTCCATTCCTTGGAATCCGTGAGGCCAAGAACCCCAGCTGAGAGAACAAAAGGCTTGCCACCATCTTGGGAGTGGCCCACCACCATCTTGGGAGCTCTACGAACAAAGACCTGCCCATAACAGTGCTGGGATTACAGGCTTGGGCCACTGTACCTGGCCTACCTCCTTTTTCTAAAGTCCATCATGGTGTGTATGTATCCTAAACACCCAAATATGTAACCAAGGACTTTGTGAATGACCCTGCTCACCAAACAGCAATCTTGGAGGATCAGCAACTGTAGTTCTGACTGCAGCTGTCACTGGTGTAAATAAAATGAAACAATGAGCAAAATAGCACAAATTTAAAAATAAACCATCAGTGTGCTAATCAAACTGAAAGTCTTCCCAAAAGAGCCAAACATTTTAACATAACCCTTCCCAGTCTCATAGTTGTTAATGTTAGGGAATGAAAACTAAATATCAATTGAAAAGGCAGTTTTAATTGGTTGCAGAAAATGAAAGGTTACTTCACTCAAAAAAGTAAAAAACTCATTGTGGTAATTCAGAAGTGGAAAACGTTTATTCCTGCAAATGATCGGTGGGCTTGCTCTGAATTCCCTTGAATTCCAGCATAGTCCCCAAATAGACAGGCTTGCCTCACCCCACAGAGGATATGAATCTGAAAAATTGAGTATGAAGAAATATTGAATATATGAAGTCATTCAAAATCCACAAGGGGGACGGGCGTGGTGGCTCATGCCTGTAATCCCAGCACTTTGGGAGGCTGAGATGGGTGGATCACTTGAGGTCAGTTCGAGACCAGCCTGGACAACACGGTGATATCCCATCTCTACTAAAAATATAAAAATTAGCTGGGCGTGGTGGCGTGTGCCTAAGGTCCAGGTAGGAGAATTGCAGAACCCAGGAGGCAGAGGTTGCAGTGAGTTGAGATGGCACCATTGCACTCTAGCCTAGGCGAAACAGGGAGACTGTCTCAAAAAAAAAAAAAAAAAAAAAAAAATATCCACAAGGGTTTTAAAGGAAGGTTTTACTGGAAAAAAAAAGTCCACAAGGGGAACTGGTTAATCAAAGAAACCACACAGTTGATTTATTTCCATGAATTCAAAGCCTTTTAATGATATGAACACTTACTCCCCATTTCTTTCTTACATTGTTACAAAAAAATTTACATAACAGTTTTCTTAAAGTGGCATTTTGTTGGTTATTATACTGATGATACATATTAACACTTTGTATTGAAGTATCATAAAAATCACAGGGCATTACAAACTTTTGATAAGAAGTAGTAATAGTATCCTCTTTTAACAACTGGAGGCTCCCAGGCATACTTTTCGGAGAGAAATGATTAATTTTATATTTTCATTTATATTTTGATGATAATCTTTTCTTGTTTTTACCAGTTACAAAAACAAAGCTTTTTCTTTGTTGTGATAATGTGCACTAAGACTTAGTTTCTTGAGCTAATGCTAAATAAAATGAGATCAATAGGAATATTCCAGGAGGTCGTGAGAAGTTTTTAGAAAGGATGGCATCTACATATATATGGAGCTCTGAAAAATGTTGGAGAGTATGACCTGGGACTGAAACTGTGGAACACATATCCAGTGTCACAGGCTCTGAGAGCAGAGAGAGTTGGCTCTGGGACCTGGAATGAGTGATGGAGAAATGTTTTAAACAAACAAACAAATAGGCCAGGCACAGTGGCTCACATCTGTAATCCTAGCACTTTGGGAGGCCGAGGTGGGCAGATCGCTTTAGCTCAGGAATTTGAGACTAGCCTGGGCAACATGGCGAAACCCCACCTCTCTATAAAATCAAACAAAACAGGCCGAGCATGGTGGCTCATGCCTGTAATCCCAGCACTTTGGGAGGTCGGGGCAGGCGGATCACTTGAGGTAAGGAGGTCAAGACCAGCCTGGGCAACATGGTGAAACCCCATGTCTACTAAAAAATACAAAACTTAGCTGGGCGTGGGGCCACATGCTCGTAATCCCAGCTACTCACACTTGAACCCAGGAGGCGGAGGTTACAGCGAGCTGAGATTGCGCCACTGCACTCTAGACTCTGTGTCTCAAACAAACAAATAAAAAACCAATTGTGGGAGACTCTGTGTCTCAAACAAACAAATAAAAAACCAATTGTGGAAGGTTCCTAGGTTTTACCGCACTCCAGTTTAATGCTCGTGACAGTACTCTCACTTATAGCTCAGGAGCCACTCTGTGTCTCAAACAAACAAATAAAAACCAAATTGTGGAGGTTCTAGGTTTACTCGCAGACTCCAGTTTAATGTGTTCACAGTACTCAATGACTTTATAGCTCAGGAGTTTACCTGTGTCTCAAACAAACAAATAAAACCAATTGTGGAGGGTTCTAGTTTACCGCACTCCAGTTTAATGCTCGTATTGTGCACTACTACTTATAGCTCAGAGTTTACTCTTGTGTCTCAAACAAACAAAATAAAAACCAATTGTGGAGGGTTCCTGGTTTACCGCACTCCAGCTCTACTGCCTGTGTCCAGTTTAATGCTCGTACAGTACTCACACTTATAGCTCAGGAGTTTTCAAGGGCTGACCCACCCATTTTCTGCCACATGCAGTCAGCCCCAAGGCCTCATCTGTACCCAAAGGCCTGTGGACAATAACTGCCCCAGCTAAAAAAAAAAAAAAAAACACAAAAACAAAAAACAAAACCTTGAAGCCTCTGACAGAGGAAACCTACTCCAGAGCCACCGTGAGCTGCCCCTGTTCCTGACCACCAAGCCCAGCCTGGACAGCCTGCTTTCCCGCCCTGGCTTGAGGCTGGCTCACTCCTGGATCTCTCCCCAGTCCTGCTTTCCCACTGGTGCCTCTAAGACCCCGGTGTGGGGTCCGCACCTCATCTCCCTGACACGAACAGGTATTGGTCCTCAAACACAGAAACACACTCTTAGCTTGGTGTCTGCTCTAGTTTGGTATTTCTACTTTTGAACTTTGTTTGGTGTTCCTTTCTAAAACCTAACCACTGGATCCAACCCAGGGTTGTAGAGTGGCCACTCTGAGTCTGCTATTTTTCCCCAAGTGTCCCTTCAGCAAGCAGCAGGCTCTGCTTTATCCTGGTGGGGGATGGGTGCGCCGTCTTCTCCAGCTACAAGACAGCAGAGTGGGTCTCCTGGAGGTTCTCCTCCAGCTTCATCCCCAGGTTGTCAATCCCAATGCTGGTGACCGGAGGCACGCTGCTTTCAGCCGGCTCAGCCGTGCGAGTCGGGGTGGAGCAGTACAGGATAAACCCCACCATGATGACGGTGAAGGACAGGATGTAGAGTCCTGAAAACTAGAAGAGAAGAACAGGCAGTGAATTGTGCCCCTCACAGACACATCTCTGCTGCTGGCTTTTGCCAACTGTGCTCTGAGGATTACCTTCTCATCATCTTTTTCTTTTTCTTTTTCTTTTTTTAAGACAGGGTCTCACTCTGTGGCCCAGGCTGGATGGAGTGCAGTGGCGCAATCTTGGCTCACTGCAACCTCTGCCTCCCAGGCTCCAGTGATCCTCCTGCCTCAACCTCCAGAGTAGCTGAGACCACAGGCACTCACCACCACACCTGGCCAATTTTTGTGTTTTCTGTAGAGACGGGGTTTTTCCGTGTTGCCCAGGCTGGTCTCAAACACCTGAGCTCAAGCAATCCACCTGCCTCAGGCTCCCAAAGTGTGGGGGATTACAGGCATGAGCCACCATGCCTGGCCTCATGATCTTGTTTCTGAAAGTTGCCTAAGGAGATGCTAATGCACAAAACCTTCCTTTGTATGCTGCTGAATGATGGGACTCTGCCAACAGCACCCGGCACATAAGCCACCTGGATCCTTGGATCTTTAGGAGAAATGGATCTTTGCTTTTCTCTGTCATAATGCAGTTACACCCCACTCTGCATATAATCCCAGTTAGTGGAGAAAATAAAAGGTCATCATGGATACCACAGAGAGCCCCGTTCAGACCCTAGACACAGCCTACAATATTGGTATGAAACAGAGGAACATAAGACTATGATGAAATGTGGAAGTACAGAAGTGGCATCTGCTCTACAGCCTCTCAATGTGTGCTATTCAATGAAATTCATTTTGCTAAAATGTAATACATTATCTTGTCTCTGTAGGCAAGTATTACATAGTAAAATTTATGGTACACTGAGCAGATTCAGAATTTTAGAGCTAGAAAGAGCCTAAGATACCAGAAGAATCCGAAGCCCAAAGAGGCGACTGGTGTAAGGTCCAGTGAGGACAATCATAGGGAACAGAGAGCCTGTGACATTTTATAATGTCTGTGACAGACATTTTACAACTATGGATGGAGTTTTTGGTGGCCTTCCCCAACTTTCCCCTTCCTAAGACTGAACACCACCACCCAGAGCAAAATGCAATGAGGACAGAACACTAATTCATTGGGTTTATATATGGAAAAATGATATACCCCAAAAGTCTAAATAAATTCTATTAAGAACTTTGTATATTTCCTCTTATTTCAGCTGAAAATTCATACAAAAGTTGAAGTATTAAATCAGTCTGTATTTTTTTCTTTTTTTCTTTTTTAGACAGAGTCTTACTCTGTCTCCCAGGCTGGAGTGCAATGGCGCAATCTCGGCTCACTACAACCTCTGTCTCCTGGGTTCAAGCGATTTTTCTGCCTCACCCTCCAGAGTAGCTGGGACTACAAGCACGCACAACCATGCCTGGCTAATTTTTGTATTTTTGGTAGAGGCGGGGTTTCACCATGTTGGCCAGGCTGGTCTCAAACTCCTGAACTAAAGTGACCCACCCACCTCGGTCTCCCAAAGTGTTGGGATTACAGGTGTGAGCCACTTGCGCCCAGCCTGAAGTCGGTATTTTGAAAGGTAATCATGCTGTCCCATAAAGTGTTCACTGTTACCTGTGAAAAAACCTATATAACTTGTTCAAAATCTGTTATATTTGGTTTGGTGGCTTTTAAATGTTCAGAAGAAAAACTAATGTCTCTCTTAAGAAGGCAGGTGATTAAATTGAGTCACTTTTATTAGCATGGAGAGACTAAGAAAGAGATTAAGTCTCCTGAATTAGAGGTGCTTACTTTTTTGTCTTGTAAAATTCTTTGTGTCTGGATCTATGCAGGAAGTTTCTTGCAGTTACTTTATTCAGCAAATATTCACTCAAGATCAATTTCAGGAGAGGCAGAGTGCTTAAGGTCTGACATAGATGAGTGTAAAAAATTCTGAGCCTCTTTTTCAACTGTCTGCTTCAAAAAATTAGAGCCAAAGTTAGACACAGTTTTTAAAACTTGTAGTATATTAAGCTTACAATCTGCCTTTAAAAACTACTTCTTGGCCAGGCTCAGTGGCTCATGGCCTGTAGTCCCAGCACTCTGGGAGGCCAAGGCGAGTGGATCACCTGAGGTCAGGAGTTCAAGACCAGCCTGGCCAACATGGTGAAACCCCGTCTCTACTAAAAATACACAAATTAGCCGGGTTTGGTAGCAGGTGCCTGTAATCCTAGCTACTCGAGAGGCTGAAGCACAAGAATCACTTGAACCCAGAATGCAGGGGCTGCAGTGAGCTGAGATCACACCACTGTACTCCAGCCTGGGCGACAGAGCGAGACTCTGTCACAAACAAAACAAAAAAACTGCTTCTAAAGTGCTAGGTGACTTCATTATGCTCTGAGTTTTTTCTACCTCTGTAATTTATTCTGAAGATTTCAGAAGACCTGCTCTTTGCTCTCTAAGTCTTGAAACAACATTTGACCAAAAATAGTAAAAATCTGACCTAAGAATGAACTATTTGACATTCAGGAACAAAGGAACACAAAATAACTGGAAAGGAATTTATCAACTGCATGCTCCGATTCTGAGAATAGTAAAGTTATGTGGCCAAAAAATGACATAAGAAAGGGATTTTTTCATTTTAAAGTTAAAAGCAGTTGAAGCTATAGCCAGCCACCTACTGGCCTGCAACTGCTATATAGAAACACCAGCACTCCTAGTGGTGGCCAGATGAAATGCAGCCACAGCATCACAGAAAAACAAGGCTGACATTGTAGTCCATGACAATTTGGCTCTCAGAAAAAAAATCTGGGCCCATCATGATGACTTCTCTGATTCACTTTGACTTTATTTATCTTACTTTTTTTATTTTTTTTAAGATGGAGTCTCACCCTGTCGCCCAGGCTGGAGTGCAATGGCATGATCTTGGCTCACTGCAACCTCCACCTCCCAGGTTCAAGCAATTCTCCTGCTGGGACTACAGATGCGTGCCACCACGCCCAGCTAATTTTTGTATTTTTAGTAGAGATGGGGTTTCACCATGTTGGCCACGATGGTCTCAATCTCCTGACCTCGTGCTCCACTCGCCTTGGCCTCCCAAAGTGCAGGCGTGACCTACTGTGCCCAGCACACTTTGGCTTTTTTTTTTTTTTTGAGACAGAGTCTTGCTCTGTTGCCCAGGCTGGAGTGCAGTGGCGTGATCTTGGCTCACTGCAAGCTCTGCCTCCTGGGTTCACGCCATTCTCCTGCCTCAGCCTCCTGAGCAGCTGGATTACAGGTATGTGCCACCACGCCTGGCTAATTTTTTGTATTTTTAGTAGAGACAGGGTTTCACCATGTTAGCCAAGATGGTCTCGATCTCCTGACCTCATCATCCACCCACCTCAGCCTCCCAAAGTGCTGGGATTACAGGCGTGAGCCACCACGCCCGGCCTGGCTTTTTTTAAATGATGGTATCAATAAGCTATAAACATTCCTTCAGTCTTAGTTCAGGAATACCTTAACCAGCAAGTCTGCAAAGATAACGGCTGGTTCCTTGACATGTAACCTTGCAATGCAAAAAAGGTTTACATTCCTTAAGTAGAAATTTCTGAGAATCCACTGAGCTTAATGTATCAATAATTCAGTTAAGTGTTGTGAGTTCATGGTTGACTTCTGGGAATAGGAAAAATAAGGATTTGTCTGGATACAAAATTTTACAAGGACAAAGAAATATAGTTGATAGCCTCTACTGAAACTAAAATTATCAGGTAATGGCCAACATCCTAACTGTCTGCTCAAATGACTGTCAGGAAAATAGGAAGCAGGTCAATAATCCTTTACTGAAGGCACGCTGAGAGAAGACAGGTCTCACTCTGTCAGCCAGGCTGGTGCAGTGGTGTTGTCAGATGATGACTCACTGCAGCCTCAACCTCCCTGGGCCCAAGTGATTCTTCCAATTCAGCCTCTCTCTCCAGTGGCTGGGACTACAGGTGCACACTACCATGTCTGGCTAATTATTTTTGTATTTTTTTTTTTTTTTTGTAGAGATGGGGTTTCGCCATGTTGTCCAGGCTGAAAAGAGATATTTCTAAAGTAGGGGCTCTCAAAGTATAATCCAAAATCCTAAAACCTAAAACGCTGGGGAGGAATCTATACAGTCAAAGCTATTATTACTTTTTTTTTTTTTTTTTTTGAGACAGAGTTTTGTTCTTGTTACCCAGGCTGGAGTGCAATGGTGCAATCTCGGCTCACTGCAACCTCTGCCTCCCAGGTTCAAGCGATTCTCCTGCCTCAGCCTCCCGAGTACCTGGGATTACAGGCATGGGCCACCACGCCCTGCTAATATTTGTACTTTTAGTGGAGAGGGGGTTTCACCATGTTGACCATGGCTAATCTCGAACTCTTGACCTCAGGTGATTCACCCACCTCAGCCTCCCAAAGTGCTGGGATTATAGGTGTAAGCCATCACGCCTGGCCCTCAAAACTATCATTACCATAATACTAAAATGCTATATGCCCTTTTCACTTTCATCATCTTGCAAATGCACAATGAAATGTTCTAGAAGCTATATGACATGTGATATCACAAGGCAGAAGGAAGAAGCAGAGGTGAGAATCCAGGTGTTTTCTAGTAAGCCACACAGTAAAGAGATTTTAAAAATATAAATCAATGACATTCTTCTATTTTTTTATTTTGAAAAATACATTTTTTCATAAAAATGTTAACATGATGAATTTATTATTTTCTTAATGAATTAATAAGTATTTTTTAATTTATCCATTTTCATTTATAATATGGTAAATAATAGGTATAAATGACTGGGGTTCCGAATTTTTGAGCATTTAAAAGGGTCTTAAGATTTTAAAAAGAATGATCAGCAAGCCCTGGATCTAAGAAAAAAAAAGATGAGAACTGCTAACTTGCTGCCCTAGGAATTTTCCAAGTAGCTGTGAAGTTGAAAAAAAAAAATCTATATACTTGGTTCTCTCTGATTATGAGACTTTAACATGATGCAATCATAAGCTTGAGATTCTCATCTTAATAATGAAATTAAGGTGGAAAGTGCAGTGGCAAGAAGCCTGGACTGATAGAAGACTGACAACTAAGACTTAGTAGTGGCTTTACCACTAACCAGCTGCTGACCAAGGGTAAGTCACTGAGCTGCACATCACCTCCCCGAGCCTTTGTTCCTCCATGTCTAAAATAAATGGCTCCACCAGGTATTAGTGGCTCACGCCTATAATCCCAGCACTTAGGGAAGCTGAGGCGGGCAGATCACCTGAGGTCAGGAGTTCAAGACCAGCCTGGCCAACATGGTGAAACCCCATCTCTAGGAAAATACAAAACTTAGCTGGGCATGATGGAGGGTGCCTGTAATCCCAGCTACTCAGGAGGCTGAGGCAGGAGAATCGCTTGAACCCGGGAGGCAGAGGTTGCAGTGAGCCGAGATCACACCTCTGCACTCCAGCCTGGGCAACAGAGTGAGACTCCATCTCAAATAAATAAATTAATTAATTAAATAATAAAATAAAATAAAATAAAATGAATGGCTCAATCAGTTCTCAAGGAAAAGTGTATCAGACTCTCTGAGGATGTTATTTTTTCAAACTTCATATTTGCTCTCTTGCTTCCCCTGGAGATACTGATATATTTCCTCCCACCCCACCTGCCTTGAGGATTAGTGCATGTAATAGGACCCACTGCTGATGGCAGCAGGTTACACTTGTAAAGGCTGTGATGATGTGGATAGAAAAAGTCTGAAAAACCACTGGACTGAATTACCTTTAAGATATAAAATTACTATCAAAGACAGAACCATCCCAATTATGCATGCATGATAAGCTGGCCATCTCTCTTTCCTTTCCAGCAGGTACTCCAGACTTTTTGTCTGTGTACCAGGGCAAAAAGAATGAATGGAAAAGTTCCTAGTGCTCAGGCTAAGTTACACTGTCCCTCAAGGTCAATAGCGGCTCTGGGTCAGCTTGTTTATCACCTGGCAACATGCGTCAACAATTCCATAAGCTAGTGCCCTGGGCCATACCATCGAAGATGAAATCCATGTATTGCACTTTTTTTTTTTTGAGACAGAGTCTCGCTCTGTCACCCAGGCTGGAGTGCAGTGGTGTGATCTCGGCTCACTGCAAGCTTCACCTCCCAGGTTCACACCATTCTCCTTCCTCAGCTTCTGGAGTAGCTGGGACTACAGGCGCCCGCCACCACACCCGGCTAATTTTTTGTATTTTTAGTAGAGACAGGTTTTCACCGTGTTAGCCAGGATGGTCTCGATCTCTTGACCTCGTGTTCCGCCTGCCTCAGCCTCCCAAAGTGCCGGGATTACAGGCGTGAGCCATCGCGCCTGGCCGTATTTCACTCTTTAGAATAACCCTAGAAGGGCAATTCTTATGTGAACCCATTTTTTAATTCTGTAGTAGTAAAGGGAGGCCTGACCAATGAAATTCTTGCCAAGAGGATGAGAAGGTTTTATTTTTTGATCTAGAGTCTTGAAGAAACCTGCTACGTTTTTTGGATCCAAGCAAGTATTCTTATTTGAACATGCTCTATTTGTTTACCTTATAGCCAAACAGAAAGAGTCCAACGAAAAGACTGTAGAGGTCCGCTGTCAGGATGCCTAGGTTGACGGAAGTGGCACTAGTGACTTTAATCACCAATGGCATGAAGCTATAAAGGCAAAACATACACAGGGCAAATGCCACAAACAGCAGGGCTGTGGAAAAAAACATGGAATATCTAATATTAGCGCAAGAAATCATAAGACAAAGGAGTTTGAGGCTTGGCTGCCATATAAAACTCCCTAATCTTTTAGCATATTATCTACAAAGTCCCTTGTTAACAGTCAGCATTGCAAATGAGACCACAAAGCTCTCTGGAAAAAAGAATATTAATAGCAAGTTGTGATGTAGATAAAGGACCTCAAAAGTTCAACAAGGTATTGGATGATCAAGGTTAAAAAATCCTGCTTATGGTGTGACTGAGTCCATTGCTCTTATCACCCCTTGCTATGCACCCTGCCAGAACACAGTGATGCCTGCGATAAAAGGCCAGTAAAGGCAGAATCAACATCTCGTGTCAAGAAAAATCATCTTTTCTTTGCTTTTGTTTGGTTGGACATGATTCGTATAACTGGATTCAGAATAAAGTAGCTTTAAAGACATCAAAGACAGTTATTAGGTCCATTGTATTTTGTTCATCTCATTAAATTAAGTGCTCCAAGGCAGCGCAACATAATTATCCTCTTTAGGACAGTGCTTGCCATGTGGATGTTGACTACATTAGCAATTATCTCTGCTTTGCAACCACTTCTTTAATCTCATCCCATACGCAACACACACACACACACACACACACACACTTCCTGGCAATGTAAGTTATTTTTATTTTTTTCGAGATGGAGTCTCGCACTATTGCCCAGGCTGGAGTACAGTGGCGCAATCTCAGCACACTGCAACCTCCGCCTCCCAGGTTGAAGTGATTCTCCTGCCTCAGCCTCCCGGGTAGCTCAGAGTACAGGTGCCCGCCACCATGCTCGGCTAATTTTTTTTTTTTTTTTTTTTTTTTTGTATTTTTAGTAGAGACGGGGTTCTTCATGTTGGCCAGGCTGGTCTCGAACTCCTGACCTCAGGTGACCCGCCCATCTCGGCCTCCCAAAGTGCTGGGATTACAGGTGTGGGCCACCCCGCCCAGCCTGCAATCTAAGTTATTTAATTGAATTAAATGATCAAGCATGGTAGACAATCTTCAATGACACCTATGTACTATTTAACTTCTCCCCACTCCATCGTTAAACCAGGTTCAAATCTTTTCTGACTGTCCCATCACCATTTTGTTTTCCTTTATTTATTTATGCAGATGCCTAGGATTATTCAGATGACAGGAGCAATGGGAGGTGAGGGAGATTTCACACCATTGACGATTCAGGTTAATGCTTCACAAATTATATCAAGCAGATAACCTTCGCAAGAAATTTGAGGACCCGAGATACAGATCTACTTGAAAGTTGGTTTGACCAAAGTTCAATCTCCAGTCTTGTTCAGGATCCCTAGTAACCAAAGGCTATTCCTGCAGGTAAAGATTAAGAATTAACTTTTATGGAAGTTTATCTACCAATTTTCAGAGAAAACTCAATGTAAAGCACTGTAGCTGATATGTATTAAATCACTCTGGGATTTTACAAAGGTGTCTAAATATTAAAATAAAGCACAGTATAATCCTCTAGGTGTTCATGTGTTAGTTAAAGGAAAGAATGCTGACTAAAAGGATTTCTTTCTTTACATACCAATTTTCCAGTCCCAGTGAATGCTGGCGATATCCTTATATTCCACAATCAATCTAAGATTAAAACAAGACGTCACAGAGAGGTCCACATACTAATTTTCACTATTTTATAAGCATTTTAGTCACTATACTTCAGCTAAAGTGCAGAACTACACGGACTTTTGAATTTGTCTTAGAATATAAAAATAACTATCTTCAATAAAAATGACAATAAAACCAAAGGAGCTCATAAAGATATGTTTGACTCCCTTACAGGTGCTCTGCAATAACAGTCAAGTATAGGAGAAAAATGTGATATCATGCTTTGTTTTTGAATAAGCTTAGGAAGTTAATGTGTTAATATTTTCTGGAAATAACTAAAAAAGAAAACTCCTTACTGGTAAATGCCTCTACCACATGCTAATCAGGAATCCTAAGCAACACACCTGTTTAAGAAAACAGGAAGTAATTCTTGATATTTTAACAATCCTCTAATAGACACTCAGCAAGTTATCAGGTAATGGCAAAACCACAATTACTCTTGCATCCACCTAATACTAATTTCAAATGTGAATTTGGGCCAAATAAATAATGAATATTAGTAGTTATCATCTATAATATATTTGCTTGTTTTGTTTTTAGAAAAAAATTGTAGAATCTTACAGCTGTATACCACTGATAATTGTTCCAAACAGGCCCACCATTCCTAAAAATTCCTGTCTGCTCAGCTTCTTCACGATGTATTCCTCACAAACATTCGAAATGGCATAGAGGGAAGCCCCAAGAAGGACCAAGATGTCGCCAATCAATACATCACTCCCTGCAGGAAGACAAGCCACAGAAAGCAAAACACTGTCAACAGGTGAACCTCTACAGCGTGCCTCCAGGCGGTCATCTGACTCGTGTTTATTTAAATGATGCTCAAGAAGAAGAAACTGGTTACTAGAAGTTGACGTGTGAGTGTGTGTGTGTGTCTGTTTGAGACAGAGTCTTGCTCTGTCGCTCAGGCTGGAGTGTGGAGTGCAGTGGCTCAATCTCAGCTCACTGCAACCTACATCTCTGGGTTCAAGTGATTCTCCTGCCTCAGCCTCCCATGTAGCTGGATTTACAGGCACCCTCCATCAGGCCTGGCTAATTTTTGTATTTGTACTGGTCTTGAACGCCAGAACTCAAGTGATCCGCTCACTTTGGCCTCCCAAAGTACTGGGATTACAGGTGTGCATGACTGTGCCTGGTCTAATTGTTGTATTTTTGGTAGAGATGGAGGGTTCACCATGTTGGCCAGGCTAGTCTCGAACTCCTGACCTCAGGTGATCTACCCACCTTGGCCTTCCAAAATGCTGGGATTACAGGTGTGAGCCACCGCACCCAACCTGGTTACTAGAAGTCTTCTCACTTTCTGGTTCAATTCTGCTGTGATTTTTCATAATTTAACTCCTCAGAAGTCTAACAGGCTAGAAATTGATGGTATATATCATAATGTAAGGCCTCAGAAAATGATTCTATGACATGACAAATTAATGGAGTTCACTGAAGAGGTAGGTCAATTTGAAAAATGGGAACCTGCTTTCAAAGTAATTTTCCCTCTCAATTCAAGGAGACACTTAGCTCACTTGTAGATTGGGTGAATCATAGACCTTAATTAGATTTTATAGTATCAACTGTAATTTTCTCTCTCAATCCAAGGAGACATTTAACTCACTTGAAGCTTGGATGAATTCATAGGCCTTAATTACATTTTATACTATCAACTGAATTCAACACAAAGTGTGGCAAAGTATTCTCACCTATACAGTGACTTAAAAAGAAATACTCCAGTGAACAAGTTTCTTCGTTGATTAAATAAAAAAAGAAGAAAAGAATCGACAGGTTTTCCAGTAACCAATCTTAAATGTATGAGACAAAAGATTATTGCAAATATATAAAGAAACTTTGCTCTCAAGAGACAAGCAAAACTATTTAATGTAACAAAAAAGAAGGAAAACTGTAGGCTGGTAGGAACATACAGATTGTTTTGTGAAAAATATAATTTCAAATGTAGTTAACCAGAATGTATTTTCTGCTTTTTACTATAAAAAGATATAGTTTGCAGAATAAAAGTGAAAACATAAACAAAATTCTGTGACTGAAGCACAAACATGTGACACCATCTTACCTGAATTGTCTTCCCTCCCTGCTAGTATGTCTGCACCAACCATGGTTCCTACACCCAACAGACAGACAGCCACAGCAACGAAGTGGATCACTCTGTATCTTGCATAAAGAATAAACCACGACAGAGCCATCAACACAGGAATCCCAAAGCAATCCAAAAGCTGCATGGAAAGAGAATCAACAGTTTAAAACATATCTCTCATTAGCTAAAAGATGAGTAATTAAGAAATAATAGGAGTCAGTATTTATAATAGGAGTCAGTATTTATTGAGCATTTATTATTGCCAGCCCTATACCAAGAGCTTTACCTGAATTCACTCATGTAATCCTCACAACAACTCTGTGAGACTGAAATTACAATCCAATTTTATACATGAGAAAATGAAGGTACAAAGAGGTGAAATGAGTTGTCATAGTTAAAAATGGGATGACAGCTGGGCACAGTGGCTCAGGCCTGTAATCTTAGCACTTTGGGAGGCTGTGGCAGGCAGATTGCTTGAGCCCAGGAGTTCGAGATCAGCCTGGGCAACATGGTGAAATGCTGTCTGTACAAAAAAAATAAAAAATAAAATAGTTGGGTGTGGTGGTGCATGCCTGTAGTCCCAGCTACTTGGGAAGCTAAGGTGAGAGGATCACTTGAGCCTGGGAGTTCAAGGCTGCAGTGAGCTGTGATGGTGCCACTGCACTCCAGCCTGGACAATACAGAGAGACCCTGTCTCAAAATAAGTGAATAAATAAAATAATAAAATACAATGGAAGAGTCAGTTGCTGAACACAAGAATTCTGCTGAGGGCCTGTGCTCTTTACCTCTATGTTCCCACCTGTGTATATCTTTTTTATCTTATTTTATTTTATTTTATTTTTTTGAGATGGAGTCTCGCTCTGTCACCCAGGCTGGAGTGCAGTGGCACAATCTCGACTCACTGCAACCTCTGCCTCCTGGGTTCAAGCAACTCTTCCTGCCTCAGCCTCCTGAGGAGCTGGGATTACAGCCGTCTCCCACCATGCCCAGCTAATTTTTGTATTTTTTAGTAGAGATGGGGTTTCGTCATGTTGGCAAGGCTGGTCTTGCACTCTTGACCTCAGGTGATCTGCCTGCCTTGGCCTCCCAAAGTGCTGGGATTACAGGCGTGAGCCACCATGCCTGGCCCTGTGTGTATCTTTAAGTTCGGTAGACAAACATTCCTGCAGGCAACCATTTACTCAGCCAACAAATATTTGCTAAACACCTTGCATGTGTGAGACACTGTGAAAGCAGCTAGAAATAGAGGTGAACAGGACAGAGCAAGCTGTGCCCTCAGGAGCACACAAAGCTAGAAAGGACATGGAATAAACAATCACACCAGATATTTCACTGGAATTGGGCTAAGTGCTACAAAGAAGCACTGGTTACTATGAGAGAACAGACACCATCTCCCTGACAAAGCGTCCAACCCCACCACGTGAGACACACTCGTGCTCACAGCAAATATTCTTGCTCATCCTCCTCACGTGCTTCTCCATCACCTGTTGATAAATAGGTCCAGAAAACACTAGCTATACACCTGATATTGCTCATCTGGAAGGCAGAGGGATTAAGCATGCCAAAATTATAGCAGGCCCAAAGTTGTTTGCAAGATAAAAGATAAAAAAGAGAGTGAATTTGTTCAATTCTTAAATTCACAAATTTAACGTGCATTCAAGGATAAAATATATTCAAAAGATTCTTGATGAATTCCAATGTATTTCTTTCAAGGAAGAAATATATTCCTTATACCAATAATATTCCTGAAACTGCTGTTTTATTGCTCACCCTGTTGTTTCAAACCTTGTGCCTGATTCTCTCCGTATCTGGTTAGTCTTGAACAGGACAGGCCCCTAATCTCCAGCAGCCCATTCAATCCTGTCCACAGTTGTTTACTGATTGCCTTTCACTGCAGTAGCATCAGTGGAGTCCAACGCATCATGTGTAGGAATGGCATCTTGCCTTGTTATTTATTCCAGCTGCAGAACTCTAATCTCCTAAGTGCTTTATTGAGCCTGCCTGAATAACAAAACATTAAACGATGCAAATGATAATACCCTGTCCCTGAAGACACCAGCAGAATCCAGCCATATGGCTTAACAAAATCTCAACTACATTCCTTAAACAAAAAAAAGTAGGAAAAGACATTCTAAGAACTACCACAGAAGATTCCCTTATCCTTGTGTCTTAAAATCAAACTTAAATTTGCTCTGTCTTTAACAATTTTTGTTGGGCAATGAGGGAGCTGCCTATGTCATGGTCAGAGCTCCAGAGACCTCAGGCCCCAGCCCCACACTGACCAGCTAGATGTGTGGTCCCCAGCCAGTCACTCTCCAAGTCAAAAGATAAAATAAAAAGATCAGATGAAATGATCACACAGGTTCCCTCCGACTCTAACATTCCATGACTTCTCATCTGATATCTATCACCTTCAGACATGTGAACCTTCTTTTCAAAATGCATTCTTGGTGGCGGGGTGCGGTGGCTCATGCCTGTAATCCCAGCACTATGGGGGCCAAGGCAGGAGGATCACTTGAGGTCAGGAGTTTGAGACCAGCCTGGCCAACATGGCAAAACCTTATATCTACTCAAATACAAAAAAAATCAGCTGGGCATGGTGGCGCATGCCTGTAATCCCAGCTACTCAGGAGGCCGAGGCTGCAGGGAACCAAGATTACCCCACTGCACTCCAGCGGGGCGACAGAATGAGACTCCATCTAAAAAAAAAAAAAAAAAAAGCCAGGTGTGGTGGCACATGCTTGTAATACCAGCTGCTCAGGAGGATAAGGCAGGAGAATCACTTGAACCTGGGAGACGGAGGCTGCGGTGAGTGGAGATCATAGCATTGCGCTCCAGCCTGGGTGACAGAGCAAGACTCCTCCTCAGAAAAAAAAAAAAAAAAAAAAAGTATTCTTGGTGATGGATGTCTTCTCTGATTGTTTCAGTTCTAAGAGTATCAATTTAGTTTTTAAAAATTATTGTATAGTCACAGTAAGCAGGGTACTAAGACAGACCCTGCCACGTGGTTAGTATAAAAATGAGTCAGACCATATTAGAGGTACGATAGAGTATAGAAGAGAAAATGAAAATTGAATTAGTCTTTGACAATGAGGGGAGCAGGCTTCAAAAAAGACTGCATTCTAGGAAGAACAGAGCAGCACAGGAGAGAAGGAGCAGGCCATGAGTGGGAAATGGGTTGATGTGGCAGTAAAGTGGGAAGGGACATGAGCAGAAACCTAGGCCATAGCATGATCTTCACATGAACTATGCCATGACTGTTGGTAATTACAGAACCTTCTAAGGAATCCTTAAAAAGAAGGTTCAAAGACCATCTAATCCAAATTTCCATCCTTTTGGACTACCCAGGCCAGAGATTTACTCAGGTGGAGAACCAGCTTGAATCAGTCCTGTGACAGCCATCTCTGCTACTGTCATTACCTTGTTAGATGCCTTTTTTATAATATATTCCTCACTAGGACCATAAGTGCATGACTTTTGGCAACCAAATGCTTAGGTTTTTCTAAGAGGCTAGCGTGAAAGAAATTGTTTTCAATTTCTTTGAAATTGAAAGAAGGCACGAACTTCAGTCGCAAATATCCAACTGTAAGTGTTCTGTTTAACTGTGTTTAGGCTTTGCACCAATTCAAAACTTTTTATCATTATTAGAGATCAAAGTTCCTGGGAATTGTAATCAAGTAATTAAAATGTATGTGAGATTATGAGAGTAGATGTGACAAGAAAATGCCATTTTCTGCATACTTATGTATACTTCATTAACCAATGCTAAAAGTACACTTACTCCTATTAGTGATACTAGGTAACTTCATTCTCATGCTTCATTCTCTAGGTAACTGCTGGGTTTAATTTTTGCAAAACTTTAGGTTCTCTGTGTGCCTCCTATGGTGTCTGTCTTAATAAATCATTTCCTATCTCAGCTTTTTAACCCATACTGGTCAAAGTCCAAGAGGTTTGCTGAGAACAATGCTTAGCAAAATGTTACAGAAAACAAAGTATTTAATATAAGGCACTCTGGCAATAACATTTAATGTAGGTTCACATTGGAAAAATATTGAGTTCTCAACAATCCTTATATTTTTTATGCGAAATAAGTCTAATTTCAATTTTTCCAGTCCCTAAAATTTAGAGTCAAGTAAGAATATCTCTGTATTTTGTAGAGTGAGAAAGGGATATATCAAAAAGTTATAAACTTCAAATCCCATATCTGATACAAACTTTTTTTTATTATTTAAGAAAATGAAAAAAAAAAGTTATAAACTTATTAAACTGTGACATCTAAACCTGGCATTTGAGTCTATCTCACTTTCACCTCCATTTATAAAACATTTTGTAGTTAGTAACGGTGAGTTAATGTTATGACACATCCCATAGTTTGCAAACATTAAGACAACTGAAATCAGTTGTCTTCAACTTTACAAAGTTGAAAACCTCTGCAATGTAGGAACGAATATTTTTCTTTCAATGCAGCAAGAATAAACCTAACAAAGAAACAGGGATGGGAGTTTTAACTCTGGCTACCACCTCTCCCAAAAATGTCTAATGGGTTTCTTCCAATGGTTCCTTTGTCATGAATCTCTACTATGCTTGCAAAGCTCCAACTTTCCTATAGAACAAAGGCAGATCTACTTTCATATGCCATGTTTCAGCAGCATATAAAACAGAACACACGTCAACACCACAGCATCAACTGCCAACTAAATATTTACGCTTACTGTGGTAGGAACTGCTCTGCCATAGCATTAGCAGTTTGGGGGCAGCTTAACTTGTATACATTTTCACTAATTCTAGGAAACATTACTCATTAGAGCATATGCTCTACTAGAAAACAGCACCCACTTGTGTTTAGGTTTTCTTCAACTGAACAGATTTTCAATAAAATGAGGTCAACACGTATGACTTCGTGTTCTCCTTTTCAAGCTATAAAATCCAAAGTGGTCAGAGGGCTCCCTCTTACCTGGACACTGGTTAGAGTTGTGTACTGGTAGGCTCTGACAATCATATAATTAGCTTCCACATCTGCTAGTCCCAGCAGGATGTACTTCCACCATTTTCTTTTCAAGATTACTAGAAGGTTATCACTGCCTGGTTGAAAGAAATCTGGGTCAGTACATGTTATTTGCAAATGATATCATACATGTTGATTTGAAGATAAAAGAGTAGAAGCAAGAATTTCTTTTTCTTCTTCTTCTTCTTTTTGAGATAGGGTCTCATTCTGTTGCCCAGGCTGGAGTGCAGTGGTGCAATCTCAGCTAACTGCAACCTCTGCCTCCTGGGTGCAAGCCAGCCTCCCACCTCAGCCTCCTGAGTAGCTGGGACCACAGGCGTACGCCACCATACCCAGCTAATTATTTTTGTATTTTTAGCAGAGATGGGGTCTCACCATGTTGCCCAGGCTGGTCTCGAACTCCTGAGCTCAAGCGATCTGCCTGCCTCAGCTTCCCAAAGTGCTGGGATTACAGGCGTGAGCTACCACGCCTGGCTATTGTGTATTTCCAACGTGGCACCCTCCCAGTGTTATGAAGGTTATGGTCTTCATAACCCAAACTCCTGCAACAGCTCACCAGAGTTAGATTTTTTTCTAGTATGAAACCCTAGTTAAAGTGTCATCAGAGACCAAGTGTTCAATAAAAGCACCAGAATGAAAGAGAAAAGTGGTTAAATTCCCTTTCCTAGCTGGGCATGGTGGTGTGCACCTGTAACCCCAGCTACTCAGGAGGTTGAGGTAAGGGTGGAGGACAGCTGAAGCCCAAGAGTTCAAGACCAGCTGGGCTTACATAATGAGAGTCCACCTCTCTAAGAAAAAAAAAGCGGGGGAGGGCGGGGCGGGAGGAGAGCCTTAAGGAAAAGAGCTAATGCATGCTGGACTTAATACTTAGGTGATGGGTTGATAGCTTCAGCAAACCACCATGGCACATGTTTACCTATGTAACAAACCTGCACATTCTGCACATGTACCCCAGAACTTAAAAAAAAATAACTTTTTAAAAAATCCCTTCCCTATCATAACAGAAATAAAATTTCTGGATATGAGCTTGCATGTTACCATTTCTGATAAGCCACGGACTATCCTAGGAAATGAAATGTTTTCCTAGAAATTAATTGGTTATTTAACTTCTATCCATGGGCTTCGTCAAAGAAAAGTCTGCATGTGATCATTCTTTTGGAAGAGATGTGCTTTCAAGTGAAAAATAAGTACATTATAAGTTTGAGAAAAGGCTTAGTGGCACACTGAAGAAACACATTTTATTCCCCCAAATTATATTTATTCAAATTAATTGGATTCACTACTTTGGAGAATCTGGCATCACAGGAGATGCAGAGTTGGCACATACATGAGAAGGCTTTATGGCAAGATAACTCACAAATAAATAAAAGTAGTGAGAATCATAACCAAATAATTATCAGTAAAATCCAATTAGCAGGAACATCTTGAAAACACAGAATTAGGCCGGGTGCAGTGGCTCACACCTGTAATCCCAGCACTTTGGGAGGCCAAGGTGGGCAGATCACCTGAGGTCAGAAGTTCGAGACCAGCCTGGGCAACATGGAGAAACTCTGTCTCTATTAAAAATAAAAAAAATTAGCCGGACATGGTGGCAGGTGCCTGTAATTCCAGCTACTAGGGCGGCTGAGGCAAAAAAATCACTTGAATCTGGGAGGCAGAGGTTGCACTGAGCTGAGATCGTGCCATTGAGCCGAGATCGTGCCATTGCATTCCAGCCTGGGCAGCAAGAGCAAAACTCCGTCTCAGAAGAAAAACAACAACAACAACAACACGGAATTAGTCCTCCTAGCATCAAATGGCATAGGAAGTACCTAACAACCATCCCTTAGGGAGACTAACTGCACTGATATATTTGGGAGTCTCACCGAATTCCCGAAGGCCAATGCTTCCACAAAGAGCGAAGTATAGGGTTATTAACCATGTATCGTTCCACTCCCAGCTCTTTTTTTTTTTTTTTTCTCTTCCTTTGGAGACAGGGTATTGGTCTGTCATTTGGGCTTGAGTGCAGTGGTGCCATCTTGGCTCCCTGCAACCTCAGCCTCCTGGGATCAAGCCATCCTCCACCTCAGCCTCCCAAGTAGCTGGGACTACAGGGACATGCCATCATACCCAGCTAATTTTTACATTTTTTGTAGAGAAGGAGTTTCATCATGTTGCTCAGGCTGGTCTTGAACTCCGGGCCTCAGGCGATCCTCCCACCTCCAACTGCCTAAGTGCTGGGGTTACAGGTGTGAGCCATCACACCCAGCCCTAAATTTCAATTAAAACCTTCAGATAGCTGGTGCATGGGATGAAATAAATTACTGTAATTTCGTGAGTGTGCACAGTGCCGTCCTTCTTCACTGGATTCACTAACCTTTGTGAGGCTTTTTCTTCTGCTGTGTCAGCCACATGATTCAAAAGCAAGTAGTAAATTTAGAATCAGACCTTCAAACCCCTTTACAACGAAGGGTTAAACTAAAGTTTTAAAAAATAATGAAGCTGGACGGGTATCTGTAATCCCCATATTTTGGAAGGCCGTGGCAAACAGATCACGTAAGGTCAGGAGTTCGAGACCAATCTGGCCAGCATCTCCACTAAAAATACAAAAATTAGCCGGGTATAGTGGCACGTGCCTGTAATCCCAACTACTAGGGAGGGTGAGGCAGGAGAATCGCTTGAACCCAGGAGACAGAGGTTGCAGTGAGCCAAGATCACGCCACTGCACTGTACTCCAACCTGGGTGACAGAGCAACACTGAAGCTGTAGCTACCAGGAGTTTGTGGGGAGGGAAGGAGGAATGAATAGGTGGAGCAGAGGGATTTTCAGGGCACTGGAGCTGTTCTGTTTGATACTGTAATGGTAAATGTATGCCATTATACATTTGTCAAAACCTATAGAATGCACAATACCAAGAGTGACCCCTAAGGTAAATTACTGATTTTGGTTAATAATAATGTATCTGGCTGGGCCCAGTGACTCACACCTGTAATCTCAGCACTTTGGGAAGCCGAGGTGGGAGGATTGCTTGAGCTCAGGAATACAAGACCAGCCTGGGCAACATGGTGAAACCCCGTCTCTACAAAAAATGCAAAAATTAGCTGGGCACAGTGGCTCACACCTATAATCCCAGCACTCTGGGAGGCCAAGGCAGGTGAATCACTTGAGGTCAGGAGCACGGTGAGACCCTGTCTCTGCTAAAAATACAAAAATTAGCCGGGCATGGTGGTGTGTGCCTGTAGTCCCAGCTACACAGGAGGCTGAGGCACAAGAATCACTTAAGCCCAGGAGGTGGAGGTTGCAGAGACAAAATTATGCCCCTGCAAAAAAAAAAAAAAAAAAAAAAAAAAACACCAGAGACCTGATCTACACAATCAACTAATGTTCCATTTACCATCTTTGTTTAGTCGTAAGTAAATATTTTGGAGAGTAAGGTTCTTGACTTTAAGTGTTTTTAATATCATCTTAATATTTAAAAATTTTTTTAAATTGGGGGGGACCTAACTTGTAATGACATTTATACTTTTTAGGTCAGGTCCAATGGCTCACGCCTGAAATCCTAGCACTTTGGGAGGCTGAGATGGGCAGATCACTTGAGCCCAGGAGTTAAGAGACTAGCCAGGGCAACATGGCAAAAACCCTTCTCTACCAAAAAAAAAAAAAAAAATTAGCCAGGCATGGTGGCACACGCCTGTAGTCCCATCTTACTAGGGAGGGTGAGGTGAGTGGACTACTTGAGCCTGGGAGGTCAGGGCTACATACAGTGAGCCAAGATTGCATCTCTGCACTCCAGCCTGGGTGACACAGTGAGACCCTGGCTCAAAAACAAACAACAACAACAACAACAACAACAACAAAACACTTTTTTTGGACAACTTCTCTGTTACAAACAGTATGGTGCTACTTACTTTAATCAACAATTTCAGAGAACTATGCATAAGTCTCTAGTTACTACTTTCACAGAATTCAGAGGTGTCATATTTTTCTAGTAATTTTTATGAAGATAATTTTGTTGAAAAGGTAATTTCCACATCTGACATACCTGATCGAAATGCCAGCATCACTGTATAAATTAGGAACAGCAAGCAGTAATTGATAAAGCTCTGAAGCATGGGGGTGTTCACTTTGTATCTTTCTGCCAAATACTGGCTGGTGATGGCTGTCCCACATATACACAAGGACAACATCTGACCCAGAGCAATTGTTTTCAAAATATTCCTGGAAAACAAGGGAAGAAATCAGAATAGCTTGCAAATAAGCTATACCTTACACTTACACACACACACACACACACACACACACACAGCTAAACACAAAGGGAAATGCTAATTATTCCACGTGGTTCTTCATTTCATTTTATGAAATAAATGTTTAAATGTTAGTTATTGAAGGACTACATTTTTATTCTCTTTTATCTTTCTGATCCCCTCCATTCCCACAAAGGCATATTCCCCCATTTCACTGAACATCCATTTAGAGATCATTTTGATTACTTGACTATAACATACTTTGTAAAGCATGTGTGTACGTGTGTGTGTGTGTCTTTTTTTTTTTTTTTTTGAGACAGGGTCTTGTTCTACTGCTCAGCAGTGCAGTGGTGCAATCGCAGCTCACTGCAGGCTTGACCTCCCAGACTCAAGCAATCCTCCCACTTCAGCCTCCCAAATAACTAGGACTATGGGCACATGCCACTATGCCCAGCTAATTTTTTTTTTTTTTTTGTAAAGATGGGGTTTCACTACATTGCTCAGGTTGGTCTCAAACTCCTAGGCTCAAGGGATCCTCCCACCTCAGCCTCCCAAAGTGCTAGGATTTCAAGTGTGAGCCACTGTGATTGGCCCTTACCCTGCATTTCTAACATGGAAACTAACTAAAGAAGCAAGTTGAGACAGAAGAGTCTACAATAATACCTATTTTCTGGATCAGATAATTGGATAGATAGCAATATGGTTAACCAAGATCCTAAAGGCAGAAGGAAAAGGCATATTTAGAAAGGATAATAACTCCATTTTGGACATGCTGGATTTTGTTTAATTATGAGATAGCCAAGAAGAAATGTCCAGTAGGCAGCTTGGAGCTGGAAGAAAGGATTAGATTGGAGAAATAAACTTGAGAATCATGAGCATAAAGGTGGTAGCTGAATGCGGGACATAATGAGATCACTAAGGCATATAACTAAAAATTGGGAAGAAAAGAGAGCAAAAAAGAAATACCATGGGAAACAGCAATATTTAAAGGGCTGGAGAGGCTGGATGCGGTGGCTGATGCCTGTAATCCCAGTACTTTGGGAGGCCAAGGCAGGCAGATCACTTGAGGTCAGGAGTTTGAGACCAGCCTGGCCAACATGGTGAAACCCCGTCTCTAGTAAAAATACAAACATTAGTGGGGTGTGGTGGCGTGCGCCTGTAATCCCAGCTACTCAGGAGGCTGACGCATGAGAATCGCTTGAACCCAGGAGGCAGAGGTTGCAGTGAGCTGAGACTGCACCACTGCACTCCAGCCTGGGTGACAGAATGAGGAAGAAAGGAAGGATGGAAGGATGGAAGGAAGGAAGGGAGGGAGGGAGGAAGACTCATTAGAGATGGAGATAAAGGGGCATGGCCAGAGAGGTAAGGGGAGAACTAGGAAGGAAGAAACAATCTGGAGGCCTAGAGAAGGTGGTGTTTCAAAGAGGAAACTTTTTCTAAGTATTCTTCCTGTCCTACTGTCATTCTACCCAAATCCACGCTGCAGCAGGAGTGATGTTCTGAGTGTTAATATGATGAGATTATTTCTCATGTCTAAAACCTAAAATAAAATAAATAAAAATAAAAATAAAACCTTTCACTGGCTGGTTCCCCTCTGGCCTTGGGTGAAAGCCACACTTTAAAATGGCCCTACAGGCAACCCAACATCTGACTCTCCAGCCTCACCTTGAACTACTCTCTCACAGCGTATTTCATTTTTAATTTTTAGTAATTCTTCTAGCTAACAAATAACAAAGTATGTATAATGTATAATCAACATGTATCCATGTATCTATCACCTCAAAAAATAAAATAAACAATTTGCCGGGTGCAGTGGCTCATGCCTGTAATCCCAGCAACTTTGGGAGGCTGAGAGAGGAGGATCATGAAGTCAGGAGTTCGAGACCAGCCTAACCAACATGGTGAAACCCCATCTCTACTAAAAATACAAAATTAGTTGGGCGTGCTGGCATGCGCCTGTAGTCCCAGCTACTCACGAGGCTGAGGCAGGAAAATCACTTGAACCTAGGAGGCGGAGGTTGCAGTGAGCCAAGATCACGCCACTGCACTCCAGCCTGGGCGACAGAGCAAGACTCCATCTCAAAAAAAAAAAAAAAAAAAAGAAAAGAAAAGAAAAAGAAAGAAACAATTGTCAGCTGGGCATAGTGGCTAATGCCTGTAATCCCAGCACTTTGGGAGGCCAAGGTAGGTGAATTACTTGAGCCCAGGAGTTCGAGACCAGTCTGGGCAACATGCCGAAACCCCATCTCTACTAAAAACACAAAAATTAGCCAGGCATGATAGTGCACGCCTGTAATCCCAGCTAGTAGGGAGGCTGAGGCACAAGAATAGCTTGAACCTGAGAGGTGGAGGTTAGAGTGGGCTGAGATCACACCACTACAAAAAAGAAAAAAAGAAAAGAAAGAAATATTTGGCAACATCAAGGTATCCCACGTGTGTTCTCTCTAATCTCTCAGGCCTCCTGAGGTAACTAATTAGAACTTAGTATTTATTATTTTCATGCCTTTCTACATATTTTAATATTTATGTAAGTATCCCTAAGCAACAAATTAGCATTGTTTCAAAATTTTAAATAGACAGCATCATACTGTATATACTTCTGCAATTGTGGTTTTGATCAACAGGGTTTGAGAGAGCCATCCATATGGATACATGAGTTCTTGTTCTTTTCAGTACTGTATAGTACTCTACCACATGACTACATCATGCTTTATTAATCCATTCCATCGCTGATGAATATTTTGGTTATATTCCTTTTTCTTTTTGTTTTCATATGTCTTTTGATGTAATTTTCTAAGAGTTTTTTCTAGTTTTTAGCCAGGTGGTACAAATGGGTTACAGATGGCAAGGCGTGGTGGCTCACACCTGCAATCCTAGCACTTTGGGAAGCCCAGGAAGGAGGACTGCTTGAGTCCAAGAGTTCAAAACTGGGCAACATAGTGAGACCCTATCTCTATTTAAAAAAAAAAAAATTGGGAGGATTTCTTGAGTCCAGGAGTTCAAAAGAGCCTGGGCAACAAAGTGAGACCCTGTCTCTATTTAAAAAAAAAAAAAAAAAAAAAAAAAAAATGGGTTATAGATACACTAAGATTTAATCTCCTCAATACTCCAGATGGCCTGATGGGAGCCATCTAAGGCATCTGGAGAGACTCCAGCCAGTTGCATTCTGCTGGGAGCAGGAAACTCAGAGTGTCCTACAAATATAATGACTTTCTATTATCCAGAGCAAGTGATTCCTTTAAACTTTATTGTATTTCTACAATAAAGTTTAAAGGAATCACTTGCTCTGGATATATCCAAGAACGGAATTGGACGAGATGGTGTTTGTTCTTAGGGCATGAGCATCTTCAGTTTTGTTTTCCTAGATTGCTCTCCAAAGGGTTATATTACTTCATGTAGCTGAGTCTGGTACTCTCAAAAGGAAGGAATCTCCACTCTCTAAGGGGAAGGTGATGATGTCAAGAACTGGCCAAATCCAAGGACATTGTTTTAGGTTACCGGAGGAAATTTACACCAAGATGAGCCAAAAGTTAAGGATTTGCTCCCCTACAGGTAGCATTCTTTCTAGGCATGCTCTACCCAGCACCGGCTGATGAGCTAAACCAGGTCCAGGAGTTGCTATCTCCTTCTCTTGTGCACACTTCCTCTTGAAGGAGGCATGGTTTGCATTGATTCAGGTCTTACGCTGCCCTATCCTAGACAAAAGAAATTCACTGCTTAGTCCAGTACAGTGCACCAGGAGTCTCCGGGAATGTGGGGCCAAAGCCAAAGGATGAAAAAGTTTGTTTATTTTGTGTCATTATTCCCAGCCATATGCCTCTCTCAGGAACCATGTGGGGAGAGGTACCCAGCTGAGGAAATGATTCCAATTTTCCTATATTTCATTGTTCAATTAGTACCTATCACAGTTCACAATCTCAATAACATGATCCTGACAACAGCCCTGAGAAAAGTCCTATTGCGCTCATGCTACAGATGGAGAAGATGAGACTCAGAGCAGGCCCAGAATTCACCCATCGTCATACTGTCTGTAAAAGGCAGAAGAGATCAGTGCTCCTAACTATTAAAAGACCAGATCACAGGGTTCAAATTTGCTTAAAGGTGGCTCACATCTGTAATCCCAGCACTTTGGGAGGCCGAGGCGGGTGGATTACCCGAGGTCAGGAGTTTGAGATCAGCTTGGTCAACACGGTGAAACCCCATCTCTACAAAAAATAGAAAATTTAGCTGGGCATGGTGGTGTGCACCTGTAATCCCAGTTTCTCAGGAGGCTGAGGGAGGAGGATCACTTGAACCTGAGAGGCAGGTTGCAGTGAGCCAAGATCGTACCACTGCACTCCAGCCTGGGCGACAGAGTAAGAGTTTGCCAAAAAAAAAAAGGATGGGAGAGAGGGAGGGAGGGGGGGGGGGGGGGGGGGGGGGGAGGGAGGAAGGAAGGGCTGTAAGGAAACTTCCTCTCTTCCCTGGAAGGAAGTCTCAGAATTGCAGAACCTTAGCACTAACCCACTTTAATCAGGCAGACTGCGGCCCAGAAAAGAGTAGTGTTTTGTCTAAGATCACACGGGAGCAGAGCTAATGCCCAAATTTCCTGGCCATTAAACATCTGCTGTCCCTGCTACAGCACACAGTCTTGGGATAACAGGTGGGTCATCCCTCACAGTTGGTATCTTCCGACGTTCTATATCTCTTTCTCCTTCCTCTCTTTCCCCTCATCCCTCTCTTCCCCTCCGTTCTCTCTCCATTATGATTTTATAACAGAGTTTATATTAGAAAACCCCTTCAGGCTGGGCACGGTGGCTCACGCCTGTAATCCCAGCACTTTGGGAGGCTGAGGCGGGCGGATCACTTGAGGTCAGGAGTTCAAGACCAATCTGGCCAACATAGTGAAACCCCATCTCTACTAAAAATACAAAAATTAGCTGGGCATGGTGGCGGGCACCTGTAATCCCAACTACTCGGGAGGCTGAGACA